TCTTTGAGGAAAATCAAGTCGTAGTGACAATGAATTCGGACCGTTGTGCAAACATGTTACACGAATTTTTTACACGGCTAGATATGCTGGAGGGGACATTCCGTTCCAACAAGACAGACACACTTCAAGAGGATCGGTGGCTGTTTTTAGAGAACACTTCCCAGAGCACCTCATCTCAATTAGGGATTTGAAGTGATTGACCCGCTCTCCCGATTAGGCCTCTTGTGATTTTTTTCAATCGTGTTTTTTGAAACACAAAATTTGAAGACTAACATCCAGAAAAAATGCCAGTTGCTATGCTGGCAAGAGTCATGAGAAAAGCCAGAAGTCGGCTTACTCAGTGTATGGAGAATGGGGGACGTCATCTATCTGATTTGATCTTCAAAACTATGTAAACAAAACTTCAGGCATATGCCTACGTCATATAAAACAAACACAAGTGTTCTGATTCATGCAATGGGTTTCATCAAGTTTCGAAAAAAGGAAGTTATGAAGAACCGGTTCGGAATTAGTTGCAACAGAGAACTGCTATATACGGAAGCAGTTCCATTTTCTGCTGGGACGGTAATTTCCATTAGCGCAAGCTGAACAAGCACACTAGTTCGATGATTCGTTGGAATGAAGCTGTTGAAAAACACAAAACTGAATTTAGAAATCAACTTTGAAATGAGAGTGTCTGGTTCTGCTACTGTCTCATAGAAGGAGTTAATATCTTCGATTTTTGTGCCTCTCTAATGCCTATTCCAATTGGGTATCTTCAGGCATTGGCTAATGTATTCCACCTGAAGATACCCAGTTAGGCGCCGAAAAGAGACATACAATCCGGCGCCATAAGACATTATTAGAACCAAAGACTAACTCTTTTCAAAGTAGATTTCTAAATTAATTTTAGTGTTCTACTATTTCAGAGATGCGATTGTATCTTTCAGATCCCTTTCTTGACACCATAATACAAGTTGGCTATCTTCAGGTGGAATACGTGGATCAATGGTAAATCAACACTAATCAAATGTTTCATTGCTCAAAATCTACTTAAGCAATACCGAGTCTTTTGTATTGTTGATGACAGGATTACTGTTTCTCATAGTTAGTCTCTTCTAACAACGAGCTACGAGGCGCTGTTATACGAATTCATCTATTTTTTTAAACAAAAAATCATAAGATATAAAATGCTGTAACACCTTCAATATCCATGGTTTATTATTTGCCAGATGAAAGAAAGCAAGGCAAAACGGACGCGAAATGTTGTTAGATATCGTGCATGAAAACATTCATTGAACTGCAAACGACTTAGAACATCGTAGCATTATTTTTTGGTAGAAAAATAACAGGAAACGCTCTTATAAATATGAGTCTAAATGCTTTCCTTGGCGATTTCGAAACAAAAAAAAAAACTATATCTTCACAGTGTATTGGCTTGAAAAGTTTGTACTTATAGAACCAACATCATTGGCAATACATACAAAAATATTCGCGCCCGAGACTACACCAATGGAATAGAAATTGGAAAACTGGCCCTATATAAGAAAAAAATATTTTCTAGGCCACCGACTTTTTTAAACCTTCATTGTAATTCTAAATAAGGTATAGTTGTCGTCATCGTTCTAGGCCGGTCAAAGTAAGACTACCAGTATCCCTTTATATATCTCCATCTCCCTCATACATACACATGCATGTGTGTGAACGTTTGTTCGGTAAGCTCAAAGACATAGTTTTTTATTGTATGTCTCTGTCTCGAAAACATTGTCGTTACGTATGAGTGCCCTTCAATCATATTTGTCAGAGTGACAACTTACTTGTCATCCGAGTTGTCCTGTAATCAATCTTCAATATAAAATTGGTACAATGCCTGGAAATACGATCAATGGAGAAGGCCGACAGCTCCTGCTAAATTTATTAGAGTATTTCCAGGAAGAGAATGAAAACAGCGGTCCCATGTTACCCACTTCATGAGTACTGGAGAGAGTAGCAGATGCGCTGAAGCTTAAGATCCGCCCATAATACGGAGACTCGATCGGTTTACTTATTTCATATGGAGTTGACGTAACCGCCAAGAACGGTGACTACAACTATAGTCAATTTTCCTGGGGGAATTTTGTCAAAACTTTTTTGGAGAAACATTGGTTTGAATAATTGAATTAAAATCCGTATAAAATAATTCTACTCATTCAACTCAGAAAGCATGCCCCAAAAGCGTCTGATTTCTGGCATAATAAAACTTTGAGTATAACCGTATTTAAACCATGGATTTATCGGGTACTAAGAATTGAAATTTGGGCCGAGGTTAAAATCTATGTTTACAGTTACAGATGCTTACTAAATCTGACTAGTTAACATCAATCTATAATGTTATATCGATGCATAGCTCTGTTTTGTATTGTGAATTTAATTTGCCGTTACTGTTTCATTGATTATAAACTTGAATGATTGTCTAATCAAATAATTATGTTGGAATACTACACTATACACAAATATATTAATTCAGCGTTTCCCTGTATACTTTCTTTGTAGTTAGTAATTATATGGTGTGGAAAAGCTTTTCAAGAGTTTGAAAATTGGTGTTTTTATTTTATAATGTTCACTTTACTACTTCATATCATGATCTCTTGTAACTTGTAATTTTTGCTTGACTTTAGAAAAAAAAGGTTCTAATAAAGTTTATGGGAGATGTAACATACAGCTGTGTCGTCAAGCAAATAACGATAGCGTCATTGGTTTGAATTCAAGTTTGAAGCTCGACCGTTACCCATTTTTATTTTTTGGACAGGGGATAGCTTTTATAGCCACTCCCGGACAGAAAAGCTCAACAGGAGTATTCCGTCAGTCAGCCTTTCTGGCCCAGTTATTTCTGGTAGTCCACTCATCTACTGCATTCGAGTAGATGCTCAGGAGTATCCACCTCAATACAATAGTAGGTGCAGTTTGCTTATTCCCTTTGCTATTCGCATATATGTCCACTTAGACCTTAATGTCTGGAATCAGTTTCCTAGTTCACGCTTCATGACTAGTCGCGTCCCATCTTCTCTGTCACTCACAATGTATATCGCCTCCCTTTCATCATACTAGCCTTTACAGAGGGCGATTCTTTCCTCAGCCATAGAACTACCACGTATTTTTAGACTCAAAATAAGTCAAATGGACATGATTTACCTCTATCAAAAATTTTTCGTTTTTCAGATATTTTTGGACCCGATAGTCCCATTTGAATGAAATTTGAATCACATGAGTCGTCGGGAAAGTTGCCAAAAAATTCCTTTAGAGTTTTTCGTTGAAGTTAAATATTAGAATGTTTAGCAAAACATGTGTTCCAAGTTTCATTCAAATCGGATGATCGGTCCTTAAAATATCTTAAATAATGTTTTTGAAAAAGAAAACTTTGACGCCATCTAACGGACAAACGCAGCACTTTTGCATAAAGTTAAATCATGTCGAATCGACTTATTTTGAGTCTAAACATACTTGATACTCGACGGAAAACTTGGACACCCTGTATAGGCGCAGATCCTATACCTATATTTCTTCTATTTAAATGTCTTCAGAGATTGGAGCCCCATACAAGACTTAGTTTGATACCATAGCCAGAATCCGTCGTTTATCAGTACTCGGCCCATAATCAGTTGGCATCAGCCGACTTAGTGAAGCAACGGGCCTATTTGCTTTATCCTCGGTGCGCTTTATGTGCTCAGTTCTCTGCACCTTTGTCTATCCACACAGCATTACCCATTTAATTTTGATACTTTATGAAATCTGCAAATCTTACTTCATTACGCTTAAGCCCGATTTTACTAACAAGAGATAAACATTCTTGACCCGGATCATAATGAACTATTGCATCTTTCTAGTAATGCTTCTACTGAATGTAGTCAATTTTTCTAAAATATCTCTCAAACTAGCGATAAGATATACGATTTGTGTAAGAAGTGCCTCTACTCCGCATATTAAACCTAGAAATTCTTTATAAAACGCATGATTCAACTGCAAAAACATATTTTTCAGTTGATCCGGAGATTAAAACCTATGATCCGGAGCAATAATGACTAGTTAGAAAGCGTTTTCCTAAAACTGCATCGAAAATCGGCCAATCAGATAGGAGCCTTTACACCATGCCCGAATCGTGGATCAAATCTACGGAGTACTTTAGTGAAAAGAACAGTATATTACTTACCGGATAGAGATAATTTTAGAAAAAAGGACATATTTTTAAAATACACAACGTTGATTGTCGATTAAATTGCCGTTCAATATTGTAATTTGTAGATATATGAACCACTGTTTGGCACACATCCTCTGTGCGCGCGCGATGTCTATGCAAATTATTGGCAATCATATTTTTAATAAAAGAATTTCAGTATGGATATAACGTAAGTAAGTTTCTTAGGGAAAATAAAGAACACTGGAGAATCTTTGTTATACTTGAGTGATTTGAAACTAGGACTGCCTTTCATCAGCTCAGCTGTCCAGTCACATAACTGTTCAGTGCTACCACATCAAATTGTTGAACAAAAAGTCGTGATGCTGAAATCGGTAGATAGATCCATAAAGTGAACCTTAGATCAGTCGTATTGCACTCCATTTCGACTCTTTTAATTGGATTGAAAAATAAATGTTATTAGGTTCAACTACTTTGTGTTAAAATAACACGTTTGTGTGATAATTCATATTATTCATGTTTACTGTTATTAGCTTGGCAGCACTACAAATGTATTAACTACCAAGAGCAGGGGGGAAATTAATACTAGAAATGGGGCTGAGAGGTGCGTTCGCAAATTTTCACAAGTGCTGATTAGGGTGATTCAACGCCATGAGGAATATGTTAATCATTGCATAAACACAGTATTTACACCGGAACTTACTATCTTAACTTGTTGCAAGCATGAAATAAATGATCAAATTCGATAGTTACTTAACTATTGATCTCACGATGTACGAAAAATTGCATCTTGCTTCTGGATGCGGCATAGCTAGAAATACTTGGTGCCTTATTTAGAATATCTGGTTACAGAAAGAGTTATTTCAAGTGCCGCTACGATCAATGGGAGCTTATTTTGAATGTGATACTGAGTTGTTTTTGAGTTTACGGTGAATGTTATTTAAGTTAGTGGTTATTAATAAGTAAGTGGGTAGTGTTTCATCCGGATATTTTAGGTGTCAGATTATTATAAGTAATCCATAAGTAGAACCACTACCTTCTGCAGCGTTTAAATCGATATTTTACTATAATTCTGCGACGGATTCATCCTATCAAACTCTGGAAGTTGTCGAAGAGCATCGTAGGCGTCGTGCTAGGGGCTCAGAATCAGTATCTGAATTCGCATACACACTCCATCTGTAGCCGACAAAGAAGCACAAGAAAGAAGAGTTTACATTTCACAGACCTTTCTTTTGTTGTATAATTTATCTGATTTCTACCATTTTTTCTAAATTAAATAAAGCAAAGGCAGTATACATTCGTCTAAACCAGATAAAGGTGTTTAAAATAATTGGAAGCCAGAAACATCTCTATTTAAGGACAACATGCGAATTAGATACAACAGCAAAAACATGTGGTAATGAAAGATAATTAAGGAGTTAGTTGAAGTCTACACCTAATTAACAACCGATATATCCTTTTTCAATTTTCTCAGGTGTTTATGTTTATTTTGAATTTGGTTCTATCACCTGCATGGTGGGTTTATGATCCTTGTTTCCGACTGGCCCATTTTCGATGAAAATTAAAAAGGCTTTTTAATTGGTCATCGTTGCTCCGGGTCATAGGTTTTGATATCTGGATCAAGTGAAAAAATATGTTTTTGTAGCTAAACCAGGTAATACATAAAAAAATGACATATATTTTAGAAGAAATCGACTATATTCAATTGATATAGAATCACGCCTTCTCATTCGTGTATTATGCTCCGGATCGAGATTTTAGATCCCGCGAGTCAATAGTAAAATCGGGCTTTAGTGAAACAAAATTATAAGAAATCATTTTTAGTTTAATAATAAAAAAGTGAAATTTCGAAAAAATCTCTAAAATCACCTGTTTTGAAAACTCGCACAAAACTTTCCAAGTAAAACTGTCAAATGACTATTACTTATCGGAGATTTTTTGCTTGTAATGTCAAGTTAGTGGCACTGCTAGTACACTACGGCCCGGTTTAACAGTCGCTGGTTAACTTTCAAGTTTGGTAACTATAACTTGCAAGTTAACTATTAGTTGTCCATAAATTCGTTTTCTGCTCTGGTTAACCAACCCGCAACCGTTGATCGGGCAACCATGCTTCTAAGTCTGAATTATCGTGTTATGTGCGTTTTATGACGTTCGATGTTTGTGGCTCGTGTCATCTGGGACAACTTATGTCACTGTCAAGCAAAAAAGGTTAATTAAGTCATCTACCATTTTCGGACAAATCTGACATTGAAAACAGCATTTTGTGACTTTCTGAAAGGCGGTTAACAGACAACTGAAAAACCGGACCGTAATAAATAATTTGAAGGTACCTTTAAGAAACGTATCTGATATGGCAAAAGTAAAGTGATCTACTTTCACTACTATCAACTAATCATCTGCTACTATCTGCTATCCCAGCTTTGTGCCGAATTCGTGAAGGATATCGCACGCCATGTCAATGTTATTCCTAGTGATTCCTAACGCTTTGATCACCGAATCTCGGGAATAGCCCTCGCTGACTAATTTTTTTATGTAGTCCATGTTCAGGTTTTCGTACGAGACGTTCGTCTCACGCTCCAGGGGATTGTACCTAGTACAAATAGACAGAGAGATAGATAAAGTCTGCATATTATGGGTCCTTATACTAGGAGAACTGGTGAAATTAGAAAAAACAAACCCACAGCTTAATCCGGCAGCTTGAATCTGCAGGTATCTGTTTTTTGATAAAACTTCATTTTTATGAATGATAAATAATAGTGCGACAAATAGTACTGTTGGCGCCATCTGTTGGGCGAGTCTCCTACTCGCCAGAGCTTCATGGCCGATCTCTCCTTTTACGCGAACCACGACCGTACAAGCCGCTTGGCAAAAATCCCTCGGAATTGCTACTTAAAAAAATCCTCCAAATCACAGATAAAGGAAAGTGATAGGTTTGATTCAAAAAGCGGGGATATGCATTCTATCTGCGAAACGCGTGATTTCCCCCAGAACATTGCCTCCAAAAAATTACCCAAGTAGAAACCGCCAAAATTTGGGAGAAAATCTCCCAACATGGCAACCCTGTCGAAGTAGCACTAGTAGTATATAGGCTCCATGCTGCATACATAGAGAACTGCACAAGTCTTCCCGAATGACAAAAACATACAACACAGCTAGGTTATAAAAATCTAAAAATACAGACATTAATGCCCGGTTATACCGTCTTCATCGAATGTACCACTTCACAAAGGTGATCCGAATGTTTAAGGTCAACCTCATATCGAGTTTTTGTTGCACCACTCCGATTTGGAGAACATTCAGCTGATTTTACATCAGACAACAGTGCACCTTCAGAAGCTTTTTGGAGAAGCTTCGTCTGCAACTACAAATCGATTGGTTGGCTGTTGTATGTTTTCTTTCAAACCAAAGTTATAAGAATAAAAATGCAAACTCATTGATAATTATTCTCACATTTATTATTACTTAAATTGAATTGAAGTAACGTCTTTCATGTACGATTATTATATTTGTTGTTGCAAACACAATATACAGTGTGTCCTGAAAGGTGGGACTTTCCTTTTCAGAATCAATTACGTTACATGTTTTGTTCGTAATTACTGCTTAAAGTTGTCGCTGTTCGATTCCCATAGTAACCAAGATCAAATCGATAACTACGTTATTGCTGTAGAAATTTGCCAATTTTTGTTTTTAAATGCGGTTTGTTTATAAACCAGGAAAACCTACACACCGCGCGGCGCCTGATTTGGATACTGATTCACATAATCATAGTACCACAAAACACCATACCCTTTGACGTAGGAAGTGAAGGGAGGCAGGGTCGGAATGGGTTATTTAGAGTTTTTCGGAACTTCATGTCTTGGTTACCTCAAGGATTTGGTATATGTGATACTAGGAAAACTAGCTTATTATTGTTTGACCTATACGCTTTTTAACGGAAATTGCCAACTTTTAGGACGCCCTATATCATCTGGAATTTCCTTTGGATCATTCTGATGGGTTTAAAAACATTCGTACTCCTAAGAGGTATTCGAATAATTCTACAAAATGCAACACGCTTCAAGGCTAAGCTTGGTTGTTGTTACTGATGAGAAGCTACTATCACTACGCGAGCTTTTTAGAACTTATTGAAGAAATATGAAGAACTTTCCTCATTCGAAGTTTTTAATTTACCAACAACTTGACAGACAGCGGTCAGTAGGTCAAATCACTTGAATGACAAACTGGCAAGGATATAAAATCCACCTTTAAGATAAATTCTGCGACTTGGTTAAATTGTCTGTTCTAGTTCCACTCAAATTTTAAGTATATCTGTTGAAAAAAATATGGAACTTAAAGTTCAACTTAGCTTAAAGTTGATCTTAGCAAAGCGATGCAGCCGGGCATTAACTGTTGATCCAAGTGAATTCGTTTTTTAAGAGGCTTTGCCACGTCCTACGCATTAGTTAATAAAAATAGACCAAAGAATAATAATCTGGGGAAACGGTAAAACTTGGAATTGAATACACGCATCATACCTTTTTGAACAATCCTGTGAAGTTTCCACTTCGATATTTTCGTATGACGTCATAGTATTAGACTGACTGATATTCGGAGTCGTGCTGGACTTGACGGGTTTCGGAGTATTTTGCGCTGACCTTTTTGAAGGGCAGCTGAGGTGTCTATTAGGGAGCTTCGTTTCTATAGTATTCCTGTCGTAATAGTCGCAATTCTGGATCACCACGCCATAGATAGTCTCGGGAGAGCTCAGCTCGATCACTTCGTTTTCTACCGTGAAATCTTCGCAGAAGTCTGGGTTGTTGCTCACGTTCAACATGGAACTGCTTTTTGGTACCTAAAAATGTAATAATTATTATGTCTTTAATAATTCGTTTAATACATGGTTAATATAAGATGTGTGACAGAAAACTAATGCTGGCAACACGACAAGCAGACGGCACGTACATATGTATGTCAGTCCCCTCTTGATGCCCAGTGCGGGTTTCAAATCCGTCCGGTAAGCACGTGATTTTTGGGAATGAAGATGTGTTTTGGTTGTAGTCACAAAAAACGGAATATAGACTAGGCGCTGGATCTAAGGAAGTTTGCAAAATGTGAGGACCGCACTTTCTGAACAGACGTCGATCGAGAAGAGGTCAAAGAATAATAATCCGGATCTTGCCGGACCATTTTTTTGGTTCATTTTTATTACAAAAAAGTTTGTTTCGCTCCGACCATTTGTTTCTGATTTCTCGGATCATTCTGAACAAGAAACGTCCTTACTAAGTTTTCGAACTATAAGCCATTTAACGTCTGAAACACCTTCAAAATGGTATTCTTCAATGATTAAAAACTCGGACAGAAGTCAATATTTTTGAGGGAACCTCCTAGCTCACGTCACGCAATTGTGGAGTAGACTCATCCACTTATAGTGAGGGTCATGTCGTTGCTCTTGATATCATGAAAGCATTCGATCAGCTATGGCATGCTGACCTCGTATGTAAACTTCCATCCTATAGCCAACCAGAGAAGTTTTGTCGATGGGTGGCTGACTTTCTGTCTGACTGCAAGATATTCGTCGTAATTGACGGGTGTTCCTCTTCATCCCACGTCAAAGCGGGTGTTCCCTAGGGATCGGTCTTGGCTCTGACATTGTTCCTTTAATATCAACGGTCTCCTTTCCTGTACAATCAATCCAATCCACAGCTTTAGTAATGACAGCACTCTACAGGCAGGAATTCAGAGTGACAAGCCGATCTCTGCCGGTGAGCTGGAGAAAAGAAGACTAGCAGCGACTTCCTCTCTGACGAGAGTCCGGAAGGTTATCACTGCTTGGGGACGCAATAATCTTGTACAGTTTAATGCTTCCAAAACACAGTATTGTCCATGACGAGCAAGAAGCGTCCTAGCACTCATCCGGTTCATTTCGGAGGGTTGGAGTCCAGAGCACCGAGGACTTGATGAGGCACGAACACATCTTCTCAATAGCGGCAGCTGCTGGGAAAAAGCTAGGCTATTTGTTGAAGGCTAAGAAGTACTTTTCTCCGCATGATCTCCTGATTGTGTACCAGGCCCAGATAAGACCCTGCCTGAGTATTGTTCACATGTTTAGGATGCTGTAGCCATAACTACATTATCCATGCTCGAGACTGTTTAAAGGAGGGCTCTCCGACTGATTGATGAATCTTCTCTAACGGGCAGTCTCGAGACCCTTTCGCACTGGCGGGCCGTCGGCGATCTAGCTGTCTTCTACCGCTACGCCAATGGGATTTGTTCCTCAGAGCTCTCCTCCATGATGCCGCCGCGTGATGTGCCTGCCAGACAGACCCGTCTGACTTCGGGCACACATCTTAACCATGTCGAACTTTGTACATCCAGAACTGGCCGATAAGACCGCTCCTTTGTCCCTAGGGTATCGACATTTTGGACCAATCTACATGAGGAGGCTTTTCCCAGTTCTATTAACCTTAAGCAGTTCAATAATTAGATTAACAAAGTATGTATTTTTAAGCTCCTCATAGCAGCCGCGATGCCCTGGCATTTAGGCTTCTCGTTGCCAAAAAAAGGTTGCCAAGTATCTAAGTTAAAACCTTCCCCTATAAGACAACCAAGAGTATTCCAAGGTTAATTTATCTTAAAGCTAGTTTTTAGACCAACATTGGCTAACTTTTAACTTTCGCAGACTGTACATACCACCTCCATTAAATTGAAGATAAAACCAATGTTTTGTTTATAGCAAAGAGTATCGGCAGTTAACTTTTTTGAATATACAGGGCGTCCCAAATGTCATGTAAAGGTAGTAAAAGGGGGCGATTTCCAATCAGAAAATCTATGCTTGTCCTTATGCAATTACGCACGGTTTTCTAATTATGGCTTTTTGAGGAATTTATAGAAAATCGCTTTTGTGCAGACGCTGGAAAGAATTGAGTCTGCAAAATGTGAGGACCGTACTTTATGAACTTCGTACGTTAATCAATGTTAGCCACTTACCTGAGGTACCTCAATGGTGGTAGCCCCTTGTTGGCTGAGATTAGAGACTGACTGCGCCTCTGTGATGCCGTTCCGTAGGTAGCTGTCTGTTGATGTGGTTGGAAGTGCTGGCGGTGGATCGTGGGTAGGGGAACTTTTCCTGGGAGGCAACGGTGGGGGCCCGGTAGGGGGCACCACCACAGGAACGTTGCGACGAACACAGCGGGGGCTGCTACCTGGTGATATCATTGGACTGGCTGATGCCTGGTGAATTGAAAGCATGCGTGGTTTTGAGAAATGCGTCACAGAATATAGGGTGATTCAGAAAACAGAGGCAATATTTCTACAGTAGATAAAAAATAACACGACAAATTCTTATGAGCATGGGAATTAAAATGTCCCCTTACCGAGATACAGGCTGTTGGAGTTATAATTTCGTAATTGAAATCTTCCGACTTGATTACGAAAGGGAGCGGAGGGTGATGGTTGAGTACGTAGGTAGTACGTATTTTTTCACTCACTTTTAGGAATGAATCTCAAGGATATTTTGTCAAATTTTAAATCACGAATGACGAAGTTGTTGGTTTTTAAGTCTTCATTGCTCCAAACTGATTCCATATACCTACTTGGACAGAATAACACGAGTTAAGGCGTCATCAGATGTTTTGCGGACGCCATGTTTGTGGTTTCTTCTCCATCTCTCTTTAATTTATTCCACTTGTCTGTCTGCTCTTGGTATAACTACGCTTTGGTTATAGTATACAGCAGTGGCCGCAACTCGTCGATCGCGAGCTACCGGTTGTTCACAAAGGCAATTCTGGTGGCTCGCAACATATTTTAAAAAGGTGTAAAAATCATAGAAGCTTCCGTAAATTTTGTAAATCTCATAATAAACACAAGCAGCGGCAACACTCGAATACTTTGAACGGAATAAATGCGCAAGGCGCGACGACAGTGCCCTCAGTTTAAAACTGAACGACACAAGTCCAGCGGTTGGGTTAAGGTTGGCCTGCAACTAAAAATATTATGAAGTAAGAAAATGAAGACATACCATTTCCATTCGGAATGGAAAGAACAATAATTCTTTACAAAAGTTAAAGGTAAAACTGTATGTTTGTTATGTAATACATCTATTTCCCTTGCTAAAAAAGGGAATATCCAGATGCACTATAAAACGGTACATTCGAATTTTGGAAAATCTGTTCCATTACCAGAACGGACTTAAACTGAAACAATTAAAAACTCAGTTAATTGGACAACAGACAATGTTTTTAAAAACAATCGACAAAAGTAAGGCTGCAACTGAAGCATCATACTGGTTGTCCCAGATAATTACACAAAATAAGAAACCACCTTATGAAGACGGGGAAATGATAAAACAGGTGCTTTTAGAAGCTGCAGATTCATTATTTGCCAACTTTAGAAATAAAGACGAGAAAGTATCTGGTATAAAATCTATGGAAGTTTCTGCTAATACAGTGCTGAGACGAGTCGAAGTAATGAGCAATGATATAGTTTCACAGTTAAGAAATGAATTGGATAACTGTGCTTATTTTTCACTGCAGCTGGATGAATCCACATATGTCGTTGACAACTCACAGGTGGCCGTGTTCGTCAGGATGGTTTTTAGTGATTTTACGATTAAAGAAGATCTTTTCAAGTTTATTCCACTAAAAGATTAGACTATTGGGCAGGACTAGTTTTCTTCTGAGAAAATTAAAATATCGAAAATGGTAGGCCTGACAACCGATGGCGTTCCAGCTATGGTGGGTCGTGATAATGGTGTCTCGTGTGGTTATTTCGTATAGATGCAAGTTTTCCGCAATTTCTCTGTTACCACTGCATTGTCCATCAGCAAGCATTTTGTGGACATTTTCTAAAACTAAACAACGTTATGAAACTGGTAGTAAAAATTGTGAACAAGATTAGAGCTCAAGCGTTACAAAGATTATTCAAAACCTTGGCCGATGAAATTGGGAACTACTTCTTCACTTTGAAGTCCCATGGTTGTGTAGGGGATGAGTGCTGAAACGTTTTAATGAAATCCTATCTGCCATAGTTCAATTTTTCAAACAACGTGATGAACCGATTCCGGAACTGGAAAATTCAATCTGGCAAGAGATTTTGGTTTTCTTGTGGATATTACATAAAAATTAAATGAACTTAATTTGCAGCTTCAGTGAAGAGACAAATAACTAGCAGAAATGATTTCTGATATAAAATCGTTTATCAAAAAGCTTGAGATTCCTTAACAATACTTTATCGATAGCGATACCAGGCATTTTCCTGTTATTTCAGAAAAGATAAGTCCATTAGAACCATATGACAGAAAATATCTTGTAGAAATAGTCTGTAACTTGAAGGATAACCTCAAAAATTGTTTCGAGGATTTCATCGAAACTGCTATAGTGGCGAAATTTGTTTCACCCTTCATGGAAATTGATATCAAACAGTTTGCCACTTCTGTTTCAAAATGATTTAGCTTTAAAATCATTAGTCTCAAATACAAAATGTATCTGGCCTTCAGTAAGTCAGTAAGTAAAGATAAATATTCAGTTTTATTTCGTGTCGCCTTGAAAATGAAAGCGTTATTTTGTTCAACCTATTTGTGTGAATTTTCTTTTTCAAATGTGAAGTTTATTAAAAACAAATACCGTAATCGACTTACAAATGAACATTGGGATAATTGTATTCGAATGGCGGTATCAAATTATACTCCAAACAATGTCATTGAGTCTGAATGTCAGGCTTCTCATTGAACACGCATTGTTTATCTAGACATGTTTTTGTTTAAAATAGGGCGTTGCTCTTTTTATTTTTGGCTACCTTCATTAAATCGTATGTGACATGCCATTGTAGCTGATGAATTTTTTTTTATTTTTCAAACACCTACGATTGGTAGGAATGGATGTAGTTATGCAGCAGGTATTAGTTATTATGTATGTCGCATACAACTGTGTATAACTTCATTTAAAATGGCTTACACTGCTTACGACTAGGTCTATTCCCAAATTAACAGAGGAGCTCAACATACCGAAAAGGTTGGCGACCATTGGTACACAGTGAAGTATAGTATATAGGCACGCCTTATCGAGCAATTGTATGTGAAACTTAAAAGCGTTTTTTTGAGACTTGTATTTGAAGTTGGTGTACGCTGTAACTCAAAATCTAATGCATCGATTCTGTTGCTGGTTCAGCACATAGATCACCAGGTAACCACGTCGATGTTTTCAATTACATGTTTTTACAATAAAAAAGTGGATTACTGTACCGAAAATCGTATTTTTGATGAATGTAACATATGAAACCTATCCTGAGGTTTTCATGTCAATAATCCTCCATGGTTGTTTAAAATTCCACTTCACTGTATACGTTTCGGTCCCACCGGAGACCTTCAGTACAAATTATACTTTTTTGACAATATATTATCAGAAATGTGTTTTGATTGGCCAGAAAGACATGACTTCCAGGAGCTACAAAAAATAGAAATAATTGAAAAACAAATAAAAACTCGACCTGGTTACCTAACCTCTCATTCAATAAATGGATTTAGATTTTTTTTATTTCGATGATCCAGTGATATTGTACACTACCTTTTTACGCGAGGCCTCCAGAAATTTGCTGCAGCTTACTCATATAGATTTCACTTTGAACATTTAACTGAATATAGTTCAAATGTCATATTATACAGTACTTAAATCAACATTATTTGTGACAACAAAAAAATCTTGAATGTATACGTATTTTTCACGGAATTATCCTTACCCGCGCTCCCTTAAGATATTGACTTTCAATTTTATACATGTACATAGTCATGCCATAAGTTCTGTCCCTCGTTTTCAAACAAGTGTGGACCTGTTAATACTTGTCCGATTGTTTACATTGTGGTGTCAGTTGATTAAGCGCTTTTCGGGTAATTACATATACCTCAGTTTGTATTGATCTCTCGAAGCATAACGATGGAGTGGGGCAAGGCAGAGAACCGTATTGCAGTGATAGCTTTACATAAGTGTAATCACAGTGCTAGTCAGATTTTTGAACTCTTACGCGGCCTTCAAATATCGCGTAAATTTGTGTCTAGGACCATTCAGCGGTACAATGAGACGTCCTCTGTTGATGTCAGGCCAAGAAGCGGAAGACCTCGTCAAGTAAGGACTCCAGCAGCCATCAAAGCCGTAAAAGCCAGGATTCAAAGGAATCCACTCCGGAAGCAGAAGATCCTATCCAGGGAAATGAAGATTCCTGTCCGGACGATGTCGCGCATCATTAAACAAGACCTAGGGCTAGGGGCTTACCGGAGACGTACGGGCCAGCAACTTACGGCCACCTTGCGACACATCAGGGCGACAAGATCCAAGAAGCTTTTGGAGAGGTACGCAGCTGGGGGATTCCGAAAGATTTTGTTCACGGATGAGAAAATCTTCACCATAGAAGAAAAATTCAACCGACAAAATGACAAAGTGTATGCAAGGAGTTCACAGGAAGCTTCGGAGACCATTCCGAGAGTTGAGAGAGGCCACCACCCTGCGTCAGTCATGGTTTGGTGGGGGGTGTCCTACGAAGGGGTCACTCAGCTCCATTTCTGTAAACAGGGCGTGAAAACAAAAGCGGCAAACTATCAGAGCGACATACTGGATCCTATCGTCAAGTCTTTAAGTGGTACATTGTTTGCCAACCAACACTGGGTCTACCAGCAGGATTCCGCCCCCGCTCACAAGGCTAAGAGTACGCAGCGCTGGCTGGAAAGCAATGTGCCAGAGTTCATTGCTGCGGAAGATTGGCCCTCAGGGAGTCCGGACCTCAATCCTTTAGACTACAAGTTGTGGGACCTGCTAGAGCAGTTGGCCTGCTCCAAAGCCCACCGTAATATCGAGTCCCTGAAAGCGGATTTGATCCGATCAGCGGCAGCTATTCCTTTGGAAGCTGTGCGTGCAGTGATAGATGAGTGGCCCGCGAGATTGAAGCAGTGTGTGAAGGCCAAGGGGGGACATTTTGAATAAAACTGTTTGATTATGAATTCTAAAAATCTTGTCGAATAAATAATATCTTTCATATAAATATATCTTATCTTGTTTCATTTTTATCATGAGATAATCATGGGACAGAACTTATGGCACGACTATGTAGTACTAACAGCATATGCAGTACATACAAAAAGTTTCGTGCCTGAGGCTAAAATTGTGCCGTATGAATAGGTAAATTTTATCCTTTACAGAAGAAAAAAGAAACTGATTTCTACGCATTAGACTTTTTTTAAACATCTATCATATTTTTGAACAGAGGAGCGAAAACTAGTTACTTTACCACTGCTAGTTATAGGAAAAACTTGTACTGGAATAAGATCCAAGGGTTTCCAAGGATTACTTATTTTCTGAAAGTCAAAACGTGAGGCATTAGATTGCGTTTATATGTACTTTCAACGTCTGCGTACCTGCTATGTTGGATAGGGCGATTTACTGGTACCAGGTGGGAAAGGTTAAGTAAAAATAAGATCAACTCAACTTATTTATAGGCACTTACCGATATATCGTTCCTAGGTGTAATTGACAAAGCGTGAAGACTACTTCCCGCACAGTTCCAAAGCTCACCTGCATCCTAAAAATAATGAAAATGCGCAAGGTTAAACTTTAATCATTATTCAAGATCTCTACCAGTGTTAGTAGAAACATCACAGTTTTGGAAAATGATTCAAGACATGCATTATGCTAGCCTTCAAGCAAGTTGCAACTTATTAACGAAATAGTACTTACCTTCAATGTTTAGCTGACATTTTACAATGAACTTGCATAGATGTAACAAAAGGCAAAACAAAATAGAACAATCTCTTTTAATAAAATAATATATTTAAAAATTCTTAAAACTATAATACTAATGACATACATATGATAAAAGTATCTATAAAATTTTGAATATGTACAAAAAATGGTTATGGAATATTCTTAATGGGTTGCTTAAATAGGGAAATAAATACTGAATCTGAAAATTGTAGTTGAAATCACGATTAAAACATATACACACATAACATGGTATTTTAGACGTGTGGTTAAGAGGTGTGGTGATATTTTTGTGCTATGACATTCTATTCTCCCAGCAAAATAATGCAAAACCCCTCAGTTTCCTCTCTTGTATTCTTTTGCTGGGCTGTCAGTCCCATCGGTCTAACCCAGAGGTTCTTAAATTTAATGTGAATCTGAAACTAATCCTGGGGTTTTCGAGTCGATAATCTCCCATATTTCTCTGGCCAATCCAAACCTAATGTTTTATAAGAATCTTCTTTATTGTAAACGTTTTGGTGACAAGGGTGACTTTCAGTACAATGACTTTGACAATATATTTTATTTATCTGTCTTGTTTTTTCTTTTCGATTTCATATTACTATGCAGTGTGTTTCTACCGCAGAGTGAATGATCCAATAACATGCTGAGATTCCAAATTTTAAGATGGCACCAAGCACCATAGCAGGACCGCCTTGTAGTAGGCACTCCCGCCCCCAAAAAAGAACGTCCAGCCCTCCAAAATGACAAGTGAGCATGATGTTAGCTGCCGTTTTCTTTTAATGTACCGGATATGACACCCTCGTCCAAGACCCAAAGAAGCCAAGCGCCCTTCAAAAAAAAAACCCACTCAGAACTATTGTCGTAACACACCGGTTAATTGTTATGCAATCTGATACCCGTTTTTCATTGATAATAAATACACGGATTTCTCAATGAATTTAGTTCAAGGTCCAATTCCAAAAGTGTAAAACAGGAATCTGGCGTCAAATAAATCCATGAAGTACTTCGTGCATTACTTCACGAAATTAGAACTTGTTCTAATTTTTGTCAAGTTTGACGTCAAATTACATGGTGCCAATCTTGTTTTCTTTTCCACTATAACGTAAAACTTTTCAAGTATAGACCTTTGGTAGAACTAAAATATTCAACAATATGGTTTCTGTTTTTGAAATTGGGCTCAAAATCAAAACCACAATACACATAATAAAAACTCAAAATGTTTTTTTTCTAGCACGAATTTGTTGGGTGGTTGGCAGCACTGTGTACTGACAGATAATCCATGAATTTGTACATTGATGTAAACACTGCAAAACAGGATGATGTTTTTGAAATACATCTGAATAAATTCGTAAAGTAATTGTTGAAGTAAAACGGGTATTCGGCAAAAATGTTGTAAGTGCATTGTTTTGCATCTGAAACTCGAGAAATACTCCTCGACATCCAAAGGGAACGATGTTGTTTGTCCTGTGAGAAAATAACATTAGACACAGCAGTTTGGCCTTGAGATGACAAAGCGAAAAAAAAACACCCGAAACTGTTATGCAATCTAAAACTAAAATGATGGACATGCATTGTTTATGGATCTGAACCGCCAGAAATAGTACTTAGACATTTAAAGGAACCATGTTGTTTGGCCTTGGGAGGCCAAAGTAAAACATCCGCGCCTTTGAGATCCAACGACAAACCATGAGACAACAACTGGATTAAAAACACCTGGACATTAGTATGGTTGGAGAATATTAATGAGACCTTTCCTTCAGGTGTTACCTGGAAGATAGATAAATAAAAAATATTGTCAAAGTCATTGTATTACAGAAGATGACCGATATTTTCAACACATGTTGTTTCGATTGGCCAGACAAATATGTTTCAAACTCATTACGTCCACTGCAAACTTTGAGAATCAATTATTTTGTAGCATCTACGATTAAATATTGAAGAGCGGAGGACAAAAAATATCCATTGCATCTCTCTCCAAATCAACGCCCCCTTTTTCCTTTAGGCTCGTTACCGCCCCCTGTAGGTCACCAGCGCCCACAAGGGGGCGTTATCGCCCACTTTGAGAAATTCTAGTCTAAACTAATTGGATGAGACTTGAGAAAATTTAAAGCTACATTGTGATGTGATTAATTAACCCAAAGATAACCAACCAACCTATTACAATATTTGCGAGTCAGAAAAATTTATCCGAGATGAAATGAGATACCGTAGCGCCACCTATGAGAATTTGTCACATCAATATTTCTCATCTCCACAATAATTAGAAACCCACTAAAAAAAGTTAGTGTCTCATAGATGGCGCTGTAGATACCCAGATAGCACAGACGGTCTTAGAAATGTCCATTTTATATACTGTCTGAATGCCTGAGTTATTGAAAAGACGTTTTTAAGACAACTTTAGTGCGACGTTTTACGAACATTCCGACACAACATAAAACAAACATCTTTAGAAGAGAAGCGATTTTCAGAATTCAGCATTTTAAACAGTTCAAGATATTAGAGAATCTATGAGAAATCCAATTGCTGAATACCCAACTAAACATTAAAGTAAAGAGTATATTTTGTTTACCCGACCAAGATTGAAAATCTATCTAACTTATTGTTAATACTTTTTCAAGATTCTATTATTTTTAATGCAATCTGATCATTTTTAACTATGCAAAACAACACGTCGTTGAGTTTCCAGACATCGGTATGTTTTAAACGCCACTGTCTGTATCTAAAATCATTTAAACGTCAATATTTCTCGCGAACATTCTATTTTAACTCAATAATCGGCCACCAGATGACGATGCGTCGTTTACAGATAGCACATTTCTATATTTACCTCTGCAACATATCTAGCTTTATCATCTGTCAATCTGGAAAAAGTTTCTTGGCCGTAGGGTTGCCATATTGTGGAATTTTATCCCAAACATGTCCCACGTTACGTCCCTTGGAGAATTTTTGGGCCATAAATTGTTGTTTTTTTTTTCTTTTTTTGCTGGAAAAATTAGATCGTTGGGTATTTTCGAGGTATCTTATTCCATATTTAACTACAAAAAACTGTCAACTGCTAAATAACAATTGTATCTTTCTATAGCTTTCTCTTTTCCCTAGTCTCCACAAGACATCTACGCTGACCCATCTCTACACATTTATATGTATGTCAATTATAGGTTGGTAGACATGTATCCATAGTCATAGAACACAGAAAAACAGGATAATAAGTTGTAAACTGGCCGGTTAATTTAGTTATCTTTATCTTACTCACGCGTGTTTCGGGAGAAAGAACTAGACGATTACTCGTCGATTACACGGGTCTGTAAATTCCCAATCTTCAAATGGAAAAGGGATAGCGAATGCGCGTATCGTTTTACGTTCATGCGCAATCGTGACTCGTTGGAAAAAAGTATATACGGTTATGCCAATAAATAAATGCATAAATTCAAGATATAATTGTGCTATTTGAGTGTGTGCTCATATACAGTCAGCTACAGCACCATCTATGATACACTTGTTCAAAGTAGACTTCTATTTACTGCAGAGAGGAGAAACATAGATGTGACAAGTTTTCATAGCTAGCGCTACAGTATCTCATTTCATCTCGACTAATTTTTCAAACGCCCGAATATTGTATTAGGTTGGCTATCTTCAGGAAGAATTTTTTAATCAATTGTTATGGGCAAATGCCCAAAATAAGTTCTTCCTTTCAAGTTGGAATAACAATTTTAACTCAAAATACAACTGATTCGAAATGTAAAAAAATATCAGAATGGTCAGGCGCCATCTGTTTTGACCTGATGTTTTAAAATACCATGCCTAAATGGATGATACTCGTATAAGTACAAATGTGGTCCATTCAAAGTAAATTAAAGCTTAAAAACATGGTTAAAAGAAAGTGAAAAAATGTACAGGTGTCCGGCTATAAATTAACCCCCTCTAACTTTTTTATATGACCTAGAAGAAAAAGCACCACGCGGTACTCAAAAAAGATATTACATTGAAAGCTTTTGTATCCAACTCTTTCTTCTGGAAGGTGATATAAAAAAAATAGAGGGGTAGGGGCAATGTATAGCCGGAAACCCCATACAGTCTACGAACTTTGACACGCTTAAGACATATATGTCAAACACATGCAATGTGACTATGAATATGCGTTTCCTGGATACAAGCTGGATGGAGCAGAGCCAATCTGCAACTATGCTGAACTCGTATCATGAACTGGCGGATACGACCACTACTTTGTTTATCTACCAGAAGTAGGTTTTCCCAGTCCTATTGACCTTAGCAGTTCAAAGCAAGTAAGAAACGTTTCCTTTTGATATAGTTGCAGGATGGCGCCACCAACAGATGGATGAGTTTTTCTCTGACAAAACACGTAAAAGCTCGCATTCAGCACTGTGACGAAACAATAAACTAGTCTCTAGGAAAATCTTCCGTAATTCAAGTGGAAACATACTGCATCGAATTTTCACAAAAAGTTCTATTTTTTTAATCAAATCACCAGCTTCAAATAAGAAGGAATGAGATTATAAAGTGTTTCTAGATAGAGCACATAAGCTGCATGTCTACCGAGGAGAAGCGACGTGAAAAGAACCGCGGCGAAATTTATCATTTGCACGCAATTAATTCAGACTAGGTACGAGCCAGTCCAGGATTTGTTTGTCTCCTAATTCTCATAGGTGAGGATCAATGTGCAATTGACATAAGTCATTTTCTATTGCTCTTCTGTTATTCCCTTCAAATGTATGGTGTTATTTTTTAAAAGTGTGAGTGTTTACAGATAATTGTGATGATTTTAAGACGTGCTACTTCTTAGATAATTTGCAAAGAGCA